GCACCACATGCAAGCTCGCGCAAACCGACCAGGTTGCCTGTGGACGAGGTCTGACCACTAAATGGGGAGGCATGCGCACGCTCGACCGGGATGTCCGTTACGTACTTTTAAACTTTTCTGGTAAAGTGTTTTCTTGGTCTTTCAGTGTCATACGCTGACATAAATTACACCTATAGGTTTGACTTCCATTTTCGATTACTTGCCACTGGGCATTATTGTTAGATTGTATAACCGACTTCAAATAAAATGTCCGTGACCAGTACTGGAATCACTGGAAACTCATCAAAGGCATAAGAAGAGGCCTTGGCCAAGCCATGCTAGGAACCTTCCCAGCAGCGAGAGTTTGGATACTATTCTAAACCAACCCAATCTTACACGGGGAAGGATAGGTTGCTAGCGCAGACAACCTCCGTGTGCAGTTGCTCACATACTTACTCCGGTGTAGCAGGTTATATTGGTCGCATGAGTCTGCGCTTATCCAAAAGAATAGGGGAACACCTTTTGGCAGGCCTGAAAAAAGGTGATTTCAGGAGCATAAAAAGCGCAATTCTCGCCCCCGTGGTTGATTCCGGACATCGTGTACACCTTAAAAAACCTGGATGATTTATAATGTCCCACCAAACTATCCAAAGTCCCTGGGTCAGCGCCTGTTAGCAACAGCAGATACGACCGCTACCAGGTTGAAGAAGCCGGTCTTGTGTGCAACAAAGAACCTCTTGCAAGCTCCGTGCCTGGCAAGGACAACGGTCGTTTACCTACATTCACTCGTCCACGCTCTCTCTTTGTCTCCCCCCACGGACCGGCTCCCTCAAACCCTTACCGCCGCATAACAAGCCCTCGCCTATCGACCCCAACCCACACCTATCTCCCCTTTTCCCGCGATTCAGTTGCATAAAAAGAAGAATGTTTTACCTTGTACCCCGTTCCCGTATAAGTGTACTGGCCCCATGATAATTTGTCGAAAGCTTACGTATGTTCGCCAACTGTCCTTCTGAATTCTCTGATGGGAATTTGGCCACCTTCAGGGCATATCTG